AACAAATACCTTCTCTAGCAGCACCTCAACATGATACAGGAATGATAAAAACAACATCAGAACATAACTAAACTAAACCCAAGAAAACACAGAAAAATCAAAACAAAACAACCGGCCGCAATAATTTGCTAGGAAAAAATCCCTCAAATGAAGAACGGTGCAACGAAGCGCACGTTAGCCTCTAGTTTAATACATCCCAACTAATCGTCCATGAATGTGTGTAAAAAATGATCAGTATAAGATATTTGAAGGATGTCCATTCGTAAGTATGAATTCACGTCCTCTAGAGTATGCCAATGTGTTCCTTTGCAATAAAAAAAGGTGTGTTCCTTTGTCGTCGTCTATTAAGATACTAAGCTTCCTATAATTTAAGCCTCTTGGTGCATCGAGGCTTGTGGCGTCATTGGGGGTCCGCCTATAGGGTTGCGTGTTGTGGTTTTGGGTTTTTTAAATTAATTTCCCCTGGTTTTCCTCTATTTCTAAGTTTCCTTTTTTCACACTAATTCATGACCATTTATTAAAAAATAATTGTTTCAAAAAGTATATAAAATTTTATAATTCATGAATAGTTTTAAAGTTTTATTTTTTTCATCCGTGAATTTTATTTTAAATTTGAGAATAGTTTCCAAAATTCATGAATATTTCTAAATTCTCGATCACTTTTAAATAGGTGAGGTTTTCAATTTGCAATATTTTTAAAAGTTCGCTATTTTTAAAATCCGTGGAGATATTTTGATTTAGCAAGCTTTTTTCAAAAATAAACGATAGTTGGTCTTTTATAAGATAGCAGTGAGCAAAATATTGCAAGCGAGCAAGGAACCGAGCGGAGCGGTGGGAGTTTCCTGGGCTGACCTATGTGAATTTTATAGCACTAATTCCATGGCTTCAGTGTGGAATAGGTGCCCCAAGGGCTCACACAATGACTAACGGTTAACACCAAGGCTGAAATATGAAAAAGGACAACATAACAACGAATTAAACAACTCCACTCTCCTCTCAAAACAAATACCTTCTCTAGCAGCACCTCAACATGATATACGAACGATAAAAAACGACATTGGCACATAATTAAAACCCAAGAAAACACAGGAAAAACAAAATGAAACAGCCGACAACAACAATTTGCTAGAAAAAAAATCCCCCAAGTGAAAAACGGGGCAATGAAGCGCGCATTAGCCTCTAGTTTAATTCATCCCTACTAATCATCCATCAACGTGTAAAAATTGATCAATATATGATATTTGAAGGGTGTCCATTCGTAAGTACGAACTTGCCTGCTCTAAAGTATGCCAATGTATTCCTTCGCAATAACAAAAAGTGTGTTCCTTTGCCGTCACAAACTATGCAAAGGTATGGATCCGTCAAGTCAAAATTAGCCGTTTTAACGTGTCATTGTGCTCTACTCCTTGCTATATAGAAACATGAGTCCAGTGAGCTAATTTTGACTTGACGGATTCATACCATCCGATCCATATTAGTTGTCATTGAAAGGGATGTATACGGAGTGGATATCATTTTTTATGTAGAGTTCATTAACATACTAGCAATTAGCAAGTCAATCAAGAGTTACTCAACTTACAATCACGCCTACGTGGGTCATACACGCCATGGGCCCTATTTGGATCATGGGGTTAGAGCTAGTTTGGGTTAGTTGGGGGCTCAAATAACCTAAAAGTATCCAAACAGGGAGGGTTAGAGTGGGTTAGTTCCATCTAACCCAACTATCCCGGTGAAGAGGTGTTTATTTGGGTTAGGCATGTACAATGGCGCTATCTTAGGTGTGCCATGTAGGATAAATGATGAGGTGGAGGAGAGAGAACTCATAAGAAAAGGCTTGTCTTCTCTTATTTAAGAGAAGACAAGAGATGATCTCTTAGCATAATATGTCTCACCACGTTTTTAGGAATTCCTAGTTATTGAAGATAAAGCTAAGAGATGACCCATTGTAGATACTTTTTCTTGTCATATCTAAATTACATGCAATGATGCAAGGGAAACGTTTGGCTGCGGCGCACCGGCCGAACGCTCGGCCGGTCGCGAGCGACCACGCGCGACCACGTACTTGCCACGCGGCCACAGGGCCCGCACACACCCGTCCTTTTATATCTCAACCACGCGTGCCTTATCTTTCCATCCCCTGCTCGCCTCTCTCCTCAGCATCTCTCGCACATATCCATTCCCACTCGCCTCTCTCCATCCATGCGCCTGGCTCCGGCCAGCGCCGCGGTTCCTCCGGCGAGTCCCCCCACCGGCGAGGCATCCCCTGCTCCTCTCTTCATCTCTCTTCACCTCTGCTCGTCGGCCCTTCCCTTCCCGCTCCCGACGCCCCCGTGTGATAGACCATGGGTCGGCGCTGGGCGGAGGAGGAAGCACGCCAGGGATCTGCATCTGGTGGACGGGAACAACCGCAACCAGCCTGGCCGGGAGCTGCAACCGGTCTCGCCAAGAGCTGCAACCGGTCTCGCCGGGAGCTGCAACCGGTGGAAAGAGGAGCTGCGACGGGTGGGTGACCACGACCACAGGCAGGCAACGGGGTGGATGGCCGTGCCCCTGACAAGTGTTGCAACCACGGCGACCAGATGTTCGAACCAGCGCCTAATTGTGCTACTATAGGCGTTTTGATTTGATGGAACCATCATCGTCCAATTTTCAGTTTTTTGCTACCACCGTAATATGTATTTGCTGGAACCATCAACATTTTTTGCTACCATCATTTTTTTGGTTTTGTTGGAATCATGCCCAATTTACTCTTTTTGCTACCATCATAATTTTTTTTGCTGGAACAATCAACATTGTTTGCTACCATCATTTTATTTGGTTTTGTTGGTACAACGCCAAAATTTTGCATTTTTGCTACCACAGGCCTTTTGATTTGCTGGAACGAGCTTCATTTTTTGCTACAACCAGCATCTTTGATTTTTGCTTCAGCAACGTTCATTTTTCCAATTTTTGATACTAGCGTTTTCAAGTTTGCTGGAAGCAGCGTATTTTTTTGCTACAACCGTTGTTTTGGATGCGAACCACAGTGTCCTCCCCATTGTCGACGGCGGACGCTGGGGGGAGGGAGCGACGGCGTCCCGTTGGAGCCGGGCGACGACCGGCGACGAGGGGAAGGCGCCTAACTGCGCTGCGGGGGGAGGGGTCGCGCGAGGCGCGACCTGCTTCGAGGTCTGCAGCCGGCGGGGCGGTCGGCGGAGCGGGAAACTACTCGCAGAGAAGGATCGCGGTGGTGGAAGACGAAGTCAACGAAGGGCGTGGGCCAGCTGGCAAAAACAGACGGTCGATGACGCGCTAATCGTGCGGCTGCCGTGCGACCGGCCCAAATTTGGGCCGGCGCACCGGCGCCTATCAGTGCCCATGATGCAAGACTTAAGATAAGGCTATCTTACCGATCATTGTACATGTTCTTAGAGTGGGTTAGAAAATAACTCTAACTCTAACTGTATTAGAGTTTCCCCGCAAAAAAAAAAAACTGTATTAGAGTATTCAAACAGGACCATGGACACGGATGAAACGATCCATCTAAAAAAGAAAAATCTAACGGCGTGAGCGGGGCAAGCTCGAGGTAGACGGCCGTCCTCTCTCGAATACTCCGCGCTCGTCGGGACCCTTCGCGGAGATCGCGTGGCGTAGACGTACGCACCAAACAGACGGGACCGTCACGGCCCGGGATTCTTCCCCCACCCGGCCCGTCACCAACCGGCATAAATACCCACCGCTCCCAGGAACGGAACCAACAAATCCCCACCCAATCTCGTCTCCGATCGACCCGAGGCTCGTCGAACCCTTCTTCCCCACCGCCTCAAGGTACGGCGATACCTTCCCCTCTCCTCCCTGTATCGTCTAGATCCGCGTTTACGTGGTGCTCCGTGATTGTTGAGCGTGTAGTACTGTGGAATTTGGCTCCGATCTGTGGTTAGATCGGTGAAGATTTGGCGAGTTCGCAAGGATTTCGCGTGTACTAATTTGTATTTAATGGGTGTATGTGCTCGTGCACAGGATGGATGGTCGAAATCTATGCATGTTTTATGTACTAGTCCGTCAGTTCCTGCTCATAGATTCCCCCAAGTAGCTTGTGTGCCATGTAACAAAGATCTATCTAGACGTGATGTTTCTAATAGGCTTAGGATTGTAGATTGGTTTTAACCGGAAGATAGGTTTCTTTTCTCAGATGATAAGCATGGCCCCCAGTTATATGGGGATCCGTTAGATAATTGATAATCTAGATGTGCCAGAACCTATTTGCGCGCTGGTATCTCTTTGATGAAGAAAATATGCTCCTGCCGTTTGTTGAGTCTCTGGTTTGATGTATGAGCTTACCTATTTTCGTGTAGATATTGTGCTTATTTTGTAATTTTAACTGAAGGGTTAGGCCTACCTGTCTTCCAGGCGAATTCCTGATGCCGCATGGTTTCATCGGTTAATCTATGCGTGTTTTATCTATTACAGCTAGTCTGTTCTGGTTTGATAGCTCTTTATGATCCAATTCAATAGTAGCTTGTCTGTGATTATCTTCTTCTCTGCACGTGAATGCTGCCTGATCTGTCACTCTTGATCAGATTTCTGTTGTACCATTGAAATAGCAAATACATGCAGGTTAGTGTCATATGTTTCTGTTATAATACAAGCATTTCAGGCAGCTATGTGGAATCAGAATCCCTAGATCAATGAAATCTTAAATGTTACATATGCATGGACCTGTAATATCTTAAATGAGAAAAATATATGCTGCTGCCATAGAAGCTTATCCAAGCTAGGTTTCTCTTAGATAATAAGCGTGTCAGGCAGCTATATGGAATCAAGATCCTCAGATCAATGAAATCTATGGATTTTTATGTTACATATGCATTGACATATCATCTGTAATATCTACAATGAAAAAAAATATGCTGCTGCCATAGAAGCTTTATCCATGCATTAGTATTTGTTGTTCTATCATTGTGAGTTTGCTTGGTCTGCTTCTTTATGCTTACCATTCTGTCCGTGATTCTTATTTGCAGATGCAGATCTTCGTGAAGACACTCACGGGCAAGACCATCACCCTTGAGGTGGAGTCGTCTGACACCATCGACAACGTGAAGGCCAAGATCCAGGACAAGGAGGGCATTCCCCCGGACCAGCAGCGCCTTATCTTCGCTGGCAAGCAGCTGGAGGACGGTCGCACCCTTGCCGACTACAACATCCAGAAGGAATCCACCCTCCACCTGGTGCTCCGCCTGCGTGGTGGCATGCAGATCTTCGTGAAGACCCTCACCGGCAAGACCATCACTCTGGAGGTTGATAGCTCCGACACCATTGACAACGTCAAGGCTAAGATCCA